CTGTGAAATTCTATACCACTATCAACTTCTCATTTAGAAAAAAAAAATGAAATATGCTTGTCTCCTCCCCCCACCCTCTTCCTATGATGTTTATTTTCATTCTGATGCACTGTTGGGACAACTTTAGGTTTACCACAATGCAATGTGATCTTGCACTGGATGGAAGTCTTGGCAAAGTCTTTGTTTCTTTGGGTGTGAATGTGTAATTTTAAGTTCACTGAAAATTTAATTGTCAGACTTTGATTAAAATGGACAATTAGTTTCCTTAAAATGACATTGTTGAAAGTGTGCCATTTTAATAAAAGAATAGACAAGATTTTGGAGTATATTTGATTTTAATCACATTTTATGTTTGTATGAGTGAACATTTTATCTTTAGTTGTACTTTCAGAAGAAAACACCTTTTAAGTTTAAATCTTTCAAGTCTGACTTGAGTTCTGTACAATATTTACAAGGATAAATAATAATCTTTTTACCTTGAAATTCATAATATTAATTATTCACTATTACAGCTCTTCTATATATCTTGTACCTTTATAAACAAGTGAGATATCCGTAGTTACCAAGAATTTTAAATTTTAAAGGGTAAGGGTTCAGAGGATTTGAAGAGGTCAATGGAAAGTTCTTACCAATTTGATTTTTCAAGGATTTTGTGGAATTCGAGGAGCGCGAAGAAGAAACCTTGTATTTCCTTTTCCCTTTACAATAAAAATTATACTTATGTTTCGGTAAGTTCATCGTTGTTTCAAATCACCCAGGTTCTCGTCCCGAGTGTCGGGTGATTAACAACTCTTATTTTCTCTTCTGATAACAATAAACGATAATAAAAGACATTCTAATTTTATCGGTGACTAGCCAAAAACCTCCCCAGCAGCCTATTCTTGACGTACTACCCTTGAACGAGTTATATGTCGCAGATATAAAACTAACTTATATTCTTCTGCCAACTTAGTTCTTGAAAAAAATCGCGCTCTTGTTTACGGGCTAGGAAAAAAAGCGGTTTATTTTCGGGAAATGTTCGTGGGTTTAGTGGGGAGAGGGCACGAAGATTCTCGCATACACATTCAGAGCCGATCGAAAGTAATGTCAGTACTTCAGTGGGCTTTAAAGACAATCCATCGCATCACGTTACTTAGTGACTACACCTTGAATTCAGCCGACTCTCGAGCCTGTAGCAGGTGAAAATTGTCAAATTAAACATGAACCACTTTGCAAAAATGCAGAATGTTTTCTTTGGGAATGTTTACCCAATCCTCTTCCTGAATATAACACTGAAGTGCAGGTCCTTTACCACTGTCAAGGTTTCCCGTCAACAGCAAAAGCTGGTCCTCTGTTTCTCTCCAATGGCAGCCACCAGGAACGTTGACAGACCCGTAGAATTCGTCCGAGTCGCGTTTCACAAAAATTTCATTCTCTTGTCTGATGATTTCTGTTGCTTCAAAATCAGCTTGTTGAGTCCGACCATTTCCGACGGGAATAAGGTTCCGGATATACCCTCGAACAACTATAAAAGAAAACTGAAGGTTACCCATGCATTAAATTATTATCTTTATTAATATTTATCATGATGTTTATTGGGGCACAATCATAATCATATTGAGGCACAAAACGGGCGAAAACCTCAGCTGTCACGTTGCTCTGAGAAAGAGCCAACGCTCAAAATATCAGCTAATTATGAACTTAGTTGTTAAACCAAACTATCTTTTTTGTTCCATCCTTCCCCCTCCATTGACGCAGCATCTCAGTACCTTTGGAAACTTACCCCCTTAATAAGTGAGTCAGCTGCCGATCAAAGATGACAATTCACATGATACTTACCAAAATTTGCTTTACAAAGAGAACTGAGCAGTTCCTTATAGTTACAAGGCTTGCATTCTGTGGATAAATAGTAAAAAGAATTGTACGTCACGGCCACTTCAAGAAAATTATAGGCGAATATTCTATGGCATACTTCAGCTGCTGGCAATTATTTAGTATTTATGGTTCTATCTATTGTCTAGAGTAATGTCTTCCGGCGTTTAAACTGGGTCATCGAGGCTATCTCCAAAGAAGGCTATGCGAGGGAACAAGACTGTGAGGGGTTAGCACCTCGTGTGGGGTACTAAACCATTCCAGGACCCCCCCCCCCACTACCAACACCACCATCACCACCCCTGAGACTTGTTAAGTTTTCCGCACAACTTGTAAGTTACCATACATCGGTGAAGAGGGGCACTTTGAGAGTCACCTGTTACACCACGTTGACCCAAGCAGGGATTGAACAAGATTATGGCCTGCTGAAGCCACCGCTTATAACGTTCCGTCTCTGGATAAGAATTAATCACTAGCTAATTTACCTTTTCGTCTTTTGTGTATAGGCCTCTTTCTACCATTCACCAGCACAGTGTAATTCAGTTGTGTCATTATTTGGTCTTCCTGAGTTTCTAGGTATAACACTGGACGTCGCGCCGCGGAGCTCTTTACGCAAACTGCACTTCTTGTCTCGTTTTCCTCAGTTCCTCGCAACAAAGTCAGATTTTGCCCCCACTCAGTGTAGATCCTTACACCAGGATGCCGTGCAATGAAGCACAGTTTATAGTTGGCGTGCACATCACGTGGATTGAACGTGACTCGCAGGCCTCCAAAAGGGTCCGACCAATGAAGTTCTCCCTGGTGACACTTTGTCTCTATGCTAACTACTGACGGCCTCTCTTGACGAGGAACACCGCTGGCAAAAGGAAGTTAAAATTTCAATTATACATGAGAAATGCTCTTTAAAGCATTTTCCGTGGCACTTTTCTTTAGAAAAGTCAATCTTGGGCAGGTGTGGAAGTTCACTTTTTTATTGCCGAGCGATACTGGTGCAAAGAAAAAAAGGAAAAGGCCAAAATCAAGACGAGGCAATTGCCCCGTCTTGCCTTTTTACAGGTCCTTATAGCGGAAAAAATTCGGAACTTTGAAAACCGAGCGCTTGATACAGGGTGACGACTTAATGAGGTGCCGCTTTCTAACAGGTTCGACAGTCACGGTAATTAGAACTCGGTGCACCACAACTTGACCTATTTGAATAGCGATTCGCACGAGGTCTGTGTTTAAGAACTGCCTTCACTTGACGAGAAGAGTTTCGCTTATGAAAGTGTTTACGTTACATAAGTATGTGGAGAGACGGGAGAGTGATAGCCGGCTAACTTATTCAAAGAAACGATTTTCATAGTATGACAAGTATTCGACGTGATCCACCATAATCTAAAGTTTTTTTTTTTAAGTTTTAAAGATATTTTGCGCAAATTCAAAATTAACATTTTAGAAAGCAAAACAATGAATTAAATATGGCGCTATTTTTCTTAATGACGGTAATCGGGTTGTGAAGCCGGTAAAAGTGTAACTTACAGATGTTACTCACTCGAAACATTCCGAAAAAATATCAAATAAAGCTTATCAGAGGTCACGACATCAATTTTTGAAAAAAACGGTTTTAGTCCAAAATATTTTAATGCGTAAAGATGCATACTTCATGCTTGGCGGTAAGAGGAATTTAAGACAAGTTTTGCCTCACTGACGTCGCACATTTTCGTCCCTAATAAATAACATTTCTTCCACTGTCTTTTAGTCGGAAAGCCTTCTTGAAGCATTTCTTAGCAAAATAATTTTTTTTGTCGGCAACACTAAAACAGCCAATACGATTTTAATCAAAGATAACGCGAAGAGCCCATTGAAAGATGTTCTATATCTCCAATATCGGTACAGTTTCCTAAGGCAAAAAGCTTGAAATTTTTTCAATTTTTTTCGTTATGGTCCTTTATCAGCTTTGTCGTTTATCGGGATAGTCAATCTGGTCAACAGTTATTTTGATGAGCGTGTTGCCTCCAGAAATATTCTTTAGTTAATTATTTATGTGAGAAAGAAAATTGCGCGCACTTTGCTGGGATAAATTTCGTGATATGGGCCTGAGAGCCCTCTTCAGTGGCACTAATGTATCCAGTAGCTGGCGGTTAAATTTTGATTGAATAATTTCGACGCCGAGAAAAAGACGTTGGGATGGTAAAACGGTTTAGTATTTTCATTTTTGTTAGAAAGCATGAGTTTTCCACGTTCTCTTCTGATTTGCAAAAACACACAAAGAGAAGAAGCGAAGTGAACAATTACACAATTCTGTGAAGCAAATCGGGAACTGGGCACTCGCTGAGCCTTTTGTTTGCGCGCATTCAAACAATGGGTCTACGTAAACACAAAAGCAAAGCACGTGCCCGAAACAGACAGTAAATGCTCCAGTTAAAAAGTCTAAAACAAGTTTGAATCCTTACACTCAACGACGTTGCATTATTTTTACAGAGCATTCATGAAAATGATAAACGCGGAACCAAAACATTATATAGACCCAGATTCGACATTAACTATGTTTTACCAAGCATTTAACCAATAAGTCGTTACAAATTCTTAACATTGTGTTGTTTCATAATTGTTTGTCAAATCCGATAGCTCGTATGTAATCAAGTAACGTCATTGCTAGGAAACTTTATATTTTGAACATGATTTTCATTCCTCGAACAAACTTGTCTTTCCCCTCTCAACTGGATAAGGACATTTACATATACGGTGATCTAATACACTTTTCATAAAATTAACCGAAACAATTTACGCGGACTATCGTCTACTATCAAAACAAAACACTTAAATTTGCGCTGATCATGATATGTCGCCGGGGTATATCGATATAATTCAGAAACTTGCATGGTACCGGTCGAGGGGAAGTTGTGCTTTGGTTACGGTTTTTAAGAATCGTTTCTTTGTATCGAAACTTAGACTCTTCACCACATACTCATTTGGCACGCGCTCGGTTTAATAAAAATATTTCCGCACCGATAATCAATGACTTTTTCTGTTCACATTTAACTACCAAAAGCGGGTTGTTTTCCTACCTTCCTCGCCAGATGCAGTCTTCTTCCAAACTGGTGGGACACACAGATTTAAAGCAAGTCAATAACAGTAGCCAGCGAAGAACTTTGAAGGACATGCAGTACTCCATCGAGGCTGTGTTGTTTAGCTGACTGACTGGTTAATGAAGCTCACTGGCAACAACGATGTTAATTTGTCCTCCTGGTGGCACGAGGCGATAGTATTTCGATAACCGCAGTTGTGATAAATGGTCCAATCACAGAAGGTCGTTGTCCCTCCTGAGGGAGCAATAATGCTGTTCGTGTGAAAGAAGACAAAACAAGTTTTTCAAGTGGCAGAGGTACTTAAAGCTTGCGCCGAATTAACATATGAATAAAATCATGCATTTGTTATGTACAATCGAGTCGGTGCAACAAAGAAGCCCACAGACAGCTTGTCAGTCGCATGGCCCTGGAGGAAGAAACGCTTAGGGTTGTTTTCCTGAATATATTTGATACAGGCCATTTCACACACGCGTGCCAAACTTTCTTGCGAATATATCAATTACTATCCCTAAATATTCCTAATTCTACTTCGAGCAAATCACAGTCATTTAATTCGGGACAAATTCGATTAAACTTTTATATATCGTTTTCGTTGCATTGAACACTATCATAACTTCGACAAGCTAAAGTAATCCCGAATTGATGGCTACAAGCAAAGACTTGTTGAAAACCAATTTACATTTGAAAACAAAGTTTCAGCATCTAACACTTTTCTATATCTTTACATAGATATATATCAACCCGTTGCCGAGGCAAAGCAAGACGTTTCTCGTTTACATGTGGTTAACTTACCCTGTCGTTCTAAAGACAAACAAGTACAAGGCTGTCTTAATTCACGCGAAATCCTGAATCGTTAAGTGCGATAGATAAAGTCATTACATCGCGGCCTCCTTGCTTTGAAAAAACCAAAACATTTTGTAAGGGCTTCCCTTCGGTCCTTGTCCTTGGTATCGGCATAACTAACAGAATTAATGTATCTATTTTTAACTTCATTGGTAAAGTAGTCTGATGAATTTTAATAAATTTTTACTGAAGATTATTTACACAGGAAAGAAACAATTTTGCCTTTAAGTAAAGAGTGTTATTATTCGTTTGGAACTAAACTGGTTGAAATTTGAATAAAGAAAAGGAAACTGTTTAACCAGCCGAAAGACAACGCCCTCTAGACTGGAAATGCGCGAAGCTTTTGGCACACGTGCAATAAGACTTCAACGGTTTTGTTTTTAGATCGCCTGCTGTGGAAGGATACAGGTTTCATGTAATTTAGCCCGTATTGTTGTTTGAATGTCTTTTTCGTATCAGACAAGTGGAAATCATAAAATACATTATAAGACTTTCCTAAGTCCTGCTATTCAATCAAGAAATCTTAAAACCTGTACTATTATACTAAGATGTTACAATAAAGACTATTCAATAAAAACCGAGCTGAGTTAGAACACATACAACTAAAAGACGCAGTGAGAGTTAAACAGCGTCTTTAGCGTATCCTCTATTTATTATTTAGTTTTGGAAAAATTATAGTATTTTCTTCTTTTTTCTCATCCACGAACAAGCAACTTCATCGTGTGTCATAAAAACTAAAACACGCTTTTTAATCGTAATTCCTAATTGTTATGCCAAGTTCCGCTAATATAAAATTTCCTTCAATTTTTAATGAAACGTGATAATTTTAATTGTTTTATTTTATTCCAGTTTTCTTTTTTCTTTTTTTTTTTAACAGGAAGTTACTCTTCTTCGCGATTAAATAAGCATTGGAAAATTGAAAAACTCACTAGTTCAGGTTTCTCGACTTGAAATACATTTATAATCAGTATTAGGAAGGGGGAAAGACATTAACATAAAGTAATTTATATACAGACCAGGCTGTTTTACTCTTTACTTCTTTTATTATACAGCGAGTTTTAGCTCCTTTTGTATAACCTTGCGCTCAACTGAACAATTTTCATATAGCGTTAGTTTCGTTTTGAAATGCAATGATAAACGAAATTTTTCATCCTAATTTGGGACAAGATTATTTGTTGCAAATGAAATTGACAAGCTTTATCTCACCTTCAGGGTTACCGACAAGTTAGAAGTTTTGACCCAAAAAACTACTTTTCCAAATCGCATCCGCCAAGCGAACGTACTGTTATGTTACTAACAGCTCCAAGTCAGGTATTCTACAGTCTTAAGCACATGCTATTTTCAAATCTTTACCTTCTATTACACGTGGATAACATCTGCTGATGTGTAGCAACATGCTGTTATGAATATTGATGAAGAGTGCATCACAGATAATGAGCAGAAACACGTGTTTGTTAACCTATGTGGTGCAATACTCATCAAATAGAATACCCGTACTTTCTTTGATTTATTTCTCGTGCAGTTTGAAGTTTACAACAGTCAGTAAGATTTTTCCTCTCTAACTATCAAATATGCGAACTGAAAATGTAACGGTTTTCGAAGTGAGTTATGCTGGATCTACGAAGTATTTCATTAGAACTCCAATGATATGTTAAATTCGCTTACACACGAGCACAATGATAATCATGTTTTGAATTTTCAACAAAGGAATTAGTTGTTTTAATGTTTCCGGTAGATTGAATGGTTTAAGGGTGCAAATTTTAAGAAAAGGCATTCAAAAGACAAAAAATCGATAATTTGATTTGCAAGCACCTTTCACGGTTATGTAAAACAGCGCAATTCATAGAAAAAAATCGATACCTCAGGCTATGTTAATTGTGCAAAGAACATTTGCAGACTACAATATAATTTTTCTAAAAGAACAATCGGACTCTGAAAAGAGAGATCTTGATTAAACCGGCGACAGCCATGATACTTTGTCAGTAAACTTTAGTAGTCCGGTTTGATAGGACTACTTACAATGTTTTTTTTCCCTGTCGAAACACGGAAGCCATTAATTGCGAGACAGAAGAATCTATTGACTTGTCTTTCTATACAAACTTGTTTTTTGTTTTTTTTTTTTTTTTCATTTCGCTCACCTGGAAAAAGCAAGGTTACGCCTACTTCGCTGTACTGTTTACAGCAGGGCGGAGAGAGATTTACAGCTGTCCTCGTTTTCAAAAGGTGAACGAGACTAAACTCCATATAATTGATGACAGAGACCACCGCCAGGGCAGAACGGAAGATTTCTTAAACTGTATCTTGAAATTTTCATTGATTTAATTTCTTACCTTCCTGGTAACATTGTCTACCCATTTGTTTACCGATTCATTGATTTCGAAAAAGATACATAGAAAGCTGTCAACAGAGTGGAATTAGGGTCGGGTTTTGAAATTAAGTCTTTTTTTTAATTTAAAAAATTCACACTTAGTTCTAAGGCTACCCTGTCACAGTTTCCATCGCAGATGACCTAATCTTCTCTTTATCGCAGCTTTCGTCAAATGTATTCAACACTGATTTTGAAACAGAGCAAATGTATGAGTTTCGCGACTAATGATATAGAAAGGTTTACATTTTCAGAACAGCAACAGAAAAAACTGAACTCAGCGTTCACGCCTAAAAGAAAGCTCATAAGAACCAGGTCCCCAGGCTCTCTGAGAACAGGAAGAAGAGAGATCCTGGCGTTTAGGATGAGTGTCGTATGTGGAGCATGGAGGCTTGTCGCCAAAAAAAAACACAAACACACCTCGCTTTCAGTAAACCACCTTGCTTTTTTTTTTGTAATTATAGCATAATATGTTAATGGTAGTCAGAATTCTAGTTTAAATTACCTCACTATAATTAGCGATTTGGATACATTGTGTATGCGCACAATTTCGAGTCGGTTGTTTCTATATTTCACAGCCTAGATTTTCGTAAGGCCCCTTCCGATGATAGGTTCGACATTTGTATAATACCACGTCACTTTAAAGTAAACGCCTAACTTAAATCATTTACATACCCCTTTTCGAATGCAGGGTAAGTTTCATCAGCTTTGATTATTACTTAACAATGACTTTTTACTTATCGGTTCCTGTATCATTCTTCCAGACGGTCATGATTATTCGTCCCAAAATAAACTGGTTATCTTGTCAACTGAACAATAATACGCATATTAATTAATTTCTACCAGTAGTTTCTAAATTTATGATCAAATTAGAGACGCTTGCAATTTTGAAAGGAATAGTTTGTTAGCTATAATCATCTTGGCAGACTACTTTTATGAATAATTTGTTCGGTATTTGCGGGTATTTTGCGTCACAAACTTAGGCGGAAGATAATGTGGTACGTTCTCAAAATTTGAAGCTGTAAACAACTGCTCTTTGAATAAACGTTTGCACATGATATAAGTTAAACTAATAACATTGAGAAAACCAATTAAGATTAGACTGACTTACCTAGCATGGACGCACTCTCAGTCCACGAAAGACATTCTTCTCAAAGGTTCCCAGTAAAAAAAAACATTTGTGGATCCCACAGAGGTCAAAGAACTATGGAATCTAGTTTCACACTGCGATAAATTGATTTCGATGCCCAACACATGTCTCGATCAATACAAAAAATTCGTAATTGGTTTAAGCAAGAACCATTTGCGTTTCAATCTTATTAATCCCTTTTGTGTCCATTGTTTCGATTGTGGTTTTTAAAATTGCCGTTTAATGAACAACTTAACCCCCGAGAGATTAATGAAATTATTGCTTGGGTCATTGAATTTCGTTCAATATCAGTAGAAGTAAAACTTGCAAAACAGTTTAACCGATGGTTAATAGATCCCTTCAATCATTTGTGTTGATTTTTGACCTTATTAATCGTCCACTGTCAAGGTTAATAAGCTTAGTTGTAAGTAACGTACGTACTAAACTGATCAAATCAGAAATCGAATAATGTCATTTTTGGTGAGAACATTTCTTTGCTTAAAGACAATCATGGTTGAATGTCATGATTTCAAAGACAGCTTTTTGAAGATGGGAGGGGAGACTGACAGACTTAACGTTATGGCGTCGCGTCTGCTCATTGTTGTTATTATTGTTGTTCCGAGTCAGTCTTGTTGTAATCTTCAGTTGTTAATGTTCACTCGTGCATTTCGATTCGTTGACTTGTCGCTTAGGGTTCGTTCAGTTTAAGAAATGCAATATTCGACAGCTAACTGAAATCTGCTCACAACCATATTCCGTAGAAAGAGACTGAAATTCCAAGAAAGAATTTTTGAAAATAATCCCTGCAGAGTGGTCGAGTCCCATATTTTCATAGATGTGGCGCAAATTCATTTTCACCCTTATAAGTGGCACAAATTTGTGAGAAAACATAGAGAAAGCATGGAGTTAAAAGGTGAAAAAATAAAATGTTCTCACTGGCATCACATCGCACGTGTTAACGCCTTTGAATGACTTACGATGTCCCCCCCTACCTTTCTTCAGCCTCCCCTAGTGAAGATCGACGTTCGATGTTTTTCCCTCCCTACCCTACCAATTAGTAGAGAACACATCAATCGATTCAAATGATACAGCGTTAGCTTTTTCTGCACAGCTTGAAAATGATGACAGCATTGTTGTGGAGCCTCGAAAGGTTGTAGCTAGGTGTATTTATGTATATACAGGTATAAACGGAAGGTATTTCCGCCAAAGTACATCAACAAATAAAAATTTAAGTTAGTGTAAGGTATAAGCTAGATGTTTGCTTTTGTTGTTGGTTTAATCAATCCAGATTAAATGCTAATGATCCAAAATTCCACAAAATCAATAACTGCTGGACGTCGGATTTAATAAGATCGCGCCCAGTCTTATAAACCGAAGTTGCCGTAATGACTGTAATGCATTTTGGCCCAAACCTCTACAAAACGGGTTAAAATGAAAGATACGGTAAATCTTAGCTTAAATGTCGTCTTTTATCGACTGTTTATGATCAATGAGACAAAAATACTTTACAAAGAGCAGCTTGTAGTCAAACATATGGCGAAAACTGAGCGTTGAATACCTACACTGTATCTTAATTGCACCCTTTCCCCAAAAAAATACAAAATTACAAACCTTCAAAACACGAATAATGAAAAAACTTCGCTAAAAATGTTCCTATGCGCCAGTTAAATTTTCCAACTGAATCCCTCCATCCATTTCTTGCCGCTGGACCCACCTAATTTACTTTGTCGCAAGCAAGCTGACAATATTGGCTTACTCGCTCAATAGCAAAAGCCTATGATGGTTTGTCTCGTAATGCATTGTGTAAGGTGGATTAATCCGTTAATTATGACTTCCTACAAGTTTGGCAAGGTATTCAATTTCTCTCATCCTTATCCCTTCGCCATTAAAAATCAAATTTAGACAGCAGATAACAGTGAAACTGTACATCGGGCGTTGTATGAAATTGTACAGTGCATTGTTAGAAAAATTAAAATGTTCGAATCCCGAAGCGACACTGCCAGTCTTTTGCGTTTGAGAATCGTCAGTAACAAGTTCTCAGTCAGAAGAACAACCGTAAGATCGGGCGGGCGGAAAATGTCTGGATTGTCGGGAGTGCCGTTTCCCTGACAACCGCGAAGAGTCGTTTCGCTCCTCCCCCTACCCAAGGAAATTAAATTGGCTCGCTGGAACACTGTACTAAAGAAGCATAGGGTTTTTCGCATCTCCCATTGCCAGGTTTCGAACTTTTTGAGAACTTATCCCACGTATAATTCATCCCAGGGGAGGCTTATGATAAATCCCAGGGATACTTTATCCCAGCGGAAGATTATACCACGACAGTTAGGCCCCGGTTGTTAGAAGGCCGAATAACGCTATCTACGTAGTAATTCTCTATCCGGTGGATACCGCAATACGTTTTGTTAAAACTCATCTGCCGGATAGCGAGTTATCCGTTGAATAGAGTTATGCGCTATTTAGACAACTGGACCCTGGATGTCACGACCAATGAGTTGTTTATGACTGTATCTTGTGAGGTACGCGATTTAATGTATAGTTTTGTATAAAAAAAAAAATTATTTAGAACACCTTTTAAGACCGATTACATCTGCTTTAAAGATTTCAGGATGACGAGCAAAATAAAATACAGTAAAAACTCGCATACAAGAACATGTGGATTAAGAACACCCAGGCTGAAATTTGGTAAAAAACGAGCATATATATAACACCACATTCAGCCTGAAAATTGTTCTTATATATAAAAGCTCTTCCCTTTTCAGTTTAATAGAAGAAACAGTGTCTGTAGCTTTTACTGTGGTATTGCACTGAGATCTCTGTATAAATGCTAGTAATTTAACTTGCTGTGTATAGCAAATGTACAACTGTATTTGGAATTAAAAGTCTTATAATTACATGAAAAATATGCTCGGTTGTGCAATTTATTTTCTAATGTTGTGTGTCTCAAGTTTAAATTTTCTCGCAAAGTTATGCATTTCATCATAGTTAGTAAATCCCTTCCATTTTTTTAGAAGTAAAAAATTAAGAACACTTGGGAACACTTTCAGGCTGATTTCACCTAAAATACCCGATATATAAGAACCCAATCAGCCTGAACCCCGAAAATGGGTGTTCTTGTATGCGGATTTTTCCTGTAACCATTTTAACACGATGTCATATTTCAACAACGATGAAACCCTCAATCATAATTATGTCTCTTGCATGGAATGCTTCCTTGTAGTCGACAGCATTTGTACTTTCTTATTTATACACGGCATATTGTTATCATGTTCACCCTTTACACTCAAACACTAGTATGCATATTCTCCGTACTGTTTACCATACACTTGCTGTTGTATTAACAAGGAGAATTTGTTGAACAATCAAGAGCTTCTCGAATGGGTGTGGTCATTTTCTTTATTCTGTTTACTCTCTTGACCCCAGTGTTTGATGCTGCAGGGAGAATTCTTAGGGGTTAAGGAACTAAGACAATGGAGGTAATTAGCCCTCTGACCCTCAGGGCTGAGGCAAATCAAACTCTCGAAAAGAGGTCAAATGTTCGAGAAGTCTGCTAACATTTATCAACTGTGTGAAAGCTTTACAATGGTAGTCAAAGTTTTGTTGACAAAAACGACTTCAAAATGAAGGAAATTGATTTTCAGTCTGGAGCAAAAACAACGGCAGGGCACTCGGTAAACGTCTTGGGTAACAAATTTTTTCTATAAACTAAAACTAAAATAACTCCAACGACTCTATTGGCCCCTTTCTAACGGCCTTTCACCGAGAAGCTCTTACATTGAAATTCTAGATGTACGGTAAAACGCGAGTGCAAGAGTTTCCTACCAGAATATCCCTCTGTACTTCTGGATATAACTAGCTACGAGACAACTGTATCAGTAAAGATGAATTCTGTCTTCGTTTCCTGAGTTCTGCCATGCCTTGCACATCCTCTTACAGCCCTAAACATCATATGGAAGGCACTTGGGCCTATCATAATATTTGTTCTTGTTTCTGTCCTTTTGCCAGCATGAGGGCTTGGTTATGACGAGTAATTGTGATCACACACGGGCCTTCTTCCCAAGGTTCCCCATCTACTTGAACCGGGAGAGACCTGGTGTCCTTCAGTGTAAGCTGTTAAGAAGGTATCAAAATACACTGGCTAAGATCAAAGAACGTAAACTGGGATACAGCTTATCAGTCAGTTCGTTGATTCCTGCACCTTAAGTTACAACGCTTTTAGCTGTTCCAAACAGGAAAATCTTAGGGTGACTCCTGCATGTTTTTATTGTAACTTCCTAGAACAGATTAGTATTAATCTCCCTTCTTGCCCTAATTAAAATTGTTTCTTTGTAAATTGTTTAAGGAAATAATGTTGATATATCCTGAGAAAACCTTCCACCTTTAGTTATGAGTTTTCCCATTTAAACACAAGTAAAATTCTAAACAGTCCCTAAGAGTGAAAGAATTAAAAATAACCTTTCCGATGTACAGATCAATAATCTATTTTTCAGTCTCAACTGCCACACAATAATGTTGAAGTCACTGAGGTCAAATTATTTGGTTCTTTGTCCATAAAATAATATCACATAATAATATAATATATAATAATAATAATAATATATAATAATAATAATATATAATAATATCACATTTCTTGACTTTACAGTCTACCAATTATGTTTCAATGAAAACTATCCTTGATGTAGTGATAAAAAGGACAAACTTTTAATTAGCAGATTCACCTAAAATCAACTGAAACTATGGTTTTAAACAAATAAAATTAATAATAATTGCAATATTATCCTGAGGGAGCTACTCTTCTCTTGATTATATTCAGAAAACAATAGAACACTGGTGCACAGAAAACCAATCGTCTCCTGTACTCACTTTTATTGATCGTGCTTGACCGAGCCGTAGTGGATCAGCCATATTGACTTGAAGCCTTGCAATGTGGAGAGCAGAATAAAGCCCTGCTACCTCCAAGATTCCATCATTAATGCTACCAAAAGAATGAAACAGATCTTTCCTTTAAACAGAAGCACCATTTGCCTGTATTGTATTGCTTTCTTAAATCAATATGTTCAGATTAAAATAATTTGTGTTCAATTTTACTGAGTAATTACAGCAACTGACCTTGGTGGCAAAGGGTGTTCCTCATCACCCTCAACCCACAATTCACAACCTCCACACCAGCTGTTGATGTTCAGAAAAACAATTCCCTCCAGCTCCGGTAGGTCCACTTTTCTTCCATCCATTTCCAGCTGAAAAAAAAAACAATGTTCAACAGTTAGAGGGTATGATACCATCTTTAAGTAAACAAATCTGAGCTAGACTTGGTTTGAATGCAAGACAAAGGTCCCTGTCACACCTCAACAACTTCATGGAGGTCTTTACAGTCTTGCTCAAGGACATCTCTGGCACCATACAATCCATACACTGCCTGGAGAGGAAGAAAAACAATTATACCTCCATGATGGCAAGTGGCCAAAATGTAGTTCAGAGTTCAGTAAAACCTAGCCTGTGAAATCGATCTTTCAGAGAAACAAAAAAATAAGACTGGAAAAAAAAAATCAGAAATTACCTTGTTAATGATGCGACTAGTAAACAAAGATGGCTGACTCTCACGATGAAGGTGGAAATTCAGAACTACTTTGGCATCACAGCCAATTGAAAAGTAATTGTTCATCCAAAACACCTAAATGAAGGAATGGAAGAAAAAAAAAAAGTAGGTCTCAAGATATCTCTCATTGTATGATATGGGCTAAACCTGGGATTGTCTTAAATCAAACATGATGAACATCAATTTCAAATAAAACAAATACCTGGTTAACAAATTGACTTGAGAGGAACACACAATGAAATTTTCTCAAATCAGATTCACCAGAAATACATTATTTCAAAAATTCATTAGTAACCAATATTTTGACAGGATTAAACCCATCAGTGGATAACACTGTTGTCCTTGGCTCAGAATCTGTGATTACCTTCTTACGTCTTCTAACATCAAAGTACCTTCGGTTACTCTCAATAGTTATTTTCCATCTAAAAATAGAAAGAAAAATATTACAATACAAAAAAATACAAGTAAGAATCAATATTTCGTGTCAAATTTCTTCATGCTGCTATTAGCCATGCCTTGCACAGTATTCAGTACCTGTCTAGAGGAGTGACATTTGCCATCATAACAGATGTCAAAACTTCATTAACATCTTCCTCACCAGTGTAACCACTCCCCCATCCCAAAACCCGTGCCAGGTCATTACCAGTGCCAAGAGGAAGAATCCCAATGTATGGTGGTAACTAATGACAAAGAAAAAAATAATGGAAGTTTTTAAAATATATATATATCTTATTAACCAAGCGTGAGGGCCGTATTGGGAGAATATCAGCCTGAGGTCTTTACAGTACGGACCGAGCACAGCGAGGTCCGTACAAAAAAGACCGAGACAAAAGTTCTGTTCCTTTCTCCTTTCACCTGGGGTGGGATGGCTGGGTTACAAAGGGGTTAGATGTCAACTGGGACAAAAGTTCTGTTCCTTTCTCTTGCCATTCCCGTGGCGAATAAATAAAATTCTAAATTCTAAACACCAAATTCTTTTAACTAACTTACAATGAAACATGTCACAGCTAGAGTGGAAAATTAACATCAAATCTTGAGAGTTAAAGGGTTGAGGAAATTTTCCTCCCTCTTTATAGAAGTTCACAGCATGAAGAGAGTAGAGCATAAACACTGGACCAAAAATACATGTATAAATCAATCATTAATTTAAAAAGGGGCACAATCTAAGCTGGCAATTTATGAGAATGGTCAAATCCCAGAAACCATTGGTTGATTGTTGAACAAATTCTCCTCGTTAATACCTCAGCAAGTGTATGGTAAACAGTATGGAGAATATACATACTAAAGTTTGAGTGTAAAGGCTTGTAACATGATGATAATATGTACAGATGAAACAGTAAAAACAAGGCCGTGTGCTTACAATATCGTCACTTTGGATAGCTTTGACTACTACATGTATAGTTGGTTGGGTGTCTTGCAACCACAATATGACAGACCTTTAATTTGACTTTATCCAAGGCACCAAGAACCCATCCAACACTGCCGTCTCCTCCACACACAAGTATACGAGTCCTGACGTTTGGCAGAAGCTTACAGAATTCTAGCGCAGATTCAGGAGGAACCTCATGAAGGTCAACTACCTAAAAATGTCATTCCAGATTCAGAAGCTGTTAAATCATTTGCTGTAATGAGGAGGGACTTGTGTTGGAAGAATGGATAATAAGCTAAACTAAAGAACAAGAGTTCCACTGGCAGGTTCAAGCACTGACCGATAACTGAACTGAAAAGTTAGTAAAGAGTCTGCTGCACTCCAATAGGCTTGGTCAGCACTTTAGTGATTATAAGTAATAACAAATAATAATAATAATAATAATATAGATCGATTTCTATAGCGCATTTCCATGTAAATGCTCGAATGTGCTTTACAACACTGTGCAGGGGACTTTTCCAGACAGCCGGTGGCAGTTTAAAATAAAGGAGAAATTTTACAGATGCCCCATCCCCCCATTCCCAATAAACAGGCCAGACCACATCACAGTAATCTCGTGATGTGGGTTCTTTAACGTCCCCTGCCGAAATTAACTAATTGATAGGTGCAGGAGAAGGGACCTCCGGCTTTATGTCCTATCCAGACAGAAGGGAGTTGTGTTGAAATTTACGGCTTAACACATTGTCATCAGTGATGGATACTGGCAAATTACTACCCGGCAATTAGCTAGCATCTTATCTATGGGGGAGTAGCAAAACCCATAGTGAAGTTACAAAAAGTGAAAGGACCCTCTTGCATGTACAAAGACTTTGCCTTATTAAAAAATCACCAAATTCAAGCCATAGCAGAACATAAACTGGGATTTTGTTAAGTATAGCTCTTAATGTGCAGATATTTAGCTTGGCATGAAAAAAAAAATCTATGCCAGCTGGTATGATTTTATTCTCCTTCGTTTCAAATTATAAGAAATTAACAAATACCGGGAAAAATAAGAGAAAGAGTTGATTGGAACCAAACCTTTTATCGTTATAAACTTTGAGGCATTACAGTAGAGTGTCTCTTTAACAACTGTTTTTAAATCAATTGAAACTTTGGAGTACCACCTCTCCAACTTACCTGTACAGGGTTTAGAAGATTTTTAAACGCCATTAATAGTCTTTCACCTTCATTATCCCCACTTTTACGATTAGCAAACACGAGCAATGGACTCCAATTTTTTATGGGCGGTGTGCTGACTTCTCGAACCACAAATCTCTTTTTACTTCTCCAATGTTCCACAGTCAAACTTATGCAATGTGGAGGTAATATCATAGTTTTATACTTTCCAAAATCACACACGTTTGATTTGCTTCGAAGGCATTGATCATGTGTTTTATCCTGACACCAGATACATCTGAGATCGCATAATCTCGGTTCAGTGCCGCAGTGAAAACCGCAGACACTACAAGTGCTACATAGAGGTAAATTCCCCCGAACCCATTGGTGATTCATGTAGTTTCTCTTCGAGAGAACAAGAACTTTGCAAGCAAATCTCTTGGTTGCTCCATCGATGCACTCTTCGTGAACAGAGATCCCACAGTTTTCACAATAACCCCCTCTTACAAGAGGACGCTCGCAAAAGTTACAATAGGTGGGCTTGTCAAGTATTTCTGTCATGAACCATCGATGGCCTTTATGAGGGTCTCCCACTCGAAGCCCTCTCTTCCAAGTCAGACCCAAGAGTTTTGTTAGTACCCAAGAAAGTAAAATGAACACTCCACAACATGCGAGAACTTGGTATGCATCTCCTCGCCATTCTAAGATGTCTCCCATTGGTTTCACACATATCCACGCAGACCTTTAGAAGATCAATTTAACCGTACAATTATCATACAGACAACACCTGTTTCCGCAGCCATGTTGGAAATTACCCATACTACCCTGCGGAATACGAGAGGATGGGAACTGGGTATGATAAACCCTATTCGACCTTTGACCTTGTGGGAATGGGAGAGGATACGAGCATTGAAAATAAGAAGAAGTGGTATAAAATAAAGGAAGAGAGAAAGAAATTGGATGGCGCGTTGAACAGTCGCCAGCTGTTTCTCAGGTTGTGTTAACGCAATCGAGATTTACATAATTCTCAAGGGTTTGGTAGGAGGCTGTGTTAACAGGGAAAGTGGCGTCTTGATCGCTTTTATTTTACTCACAGTCATCTAAATACACCAAACCACCGATGAGAACGCTTTCTTAAGAACTTTTCGTGAGCGCGTTTCAAGAATTCAGAATGAAAAAATCACCTAAATGTTAACATGTGTACTACAAGTTCCAACGAACGAATAGAAAAACATTCATACATAAGAAATATATTCGTTTAAAAATAGTTTAATAAAACTTTAATGATATCTTTATTTAACCATGATGACACCGTCGTCTTTACATATGGAAGGAAGAAGTAAATGATCTGTTCATTTCGCGGTGAAAAATTGCTTTTTAAAACTGAAGAGATTCAGGTGAGTCATTTATATCTATGTGATTCAGTCAGCTCACTGGTAAGAAATTCGAAAAGATGAAATTTTGATTGAGCCCACAGTCGAAAGAAAGAGTCCAGTTGAAATAAATATGCATTGCAGATATTCATGCATGTGTAGCGAGCTCGAGCCCACGTTAACATAACATATTAGTAAATGCTATAAAAGAATTGGAAACACGATGCGCAAAACTTTCATATTTTTTTTTCTCAACGACAAATGATTTTGCTTTTTCGCATTAAGGAGGGGGGGACATTCTTCGGAAACGATTTTACAAGTCTTTTTCTCGGTGCTGCAGAAATTGATGAGCTTAATCATTAAAATCCAGATAATAGAGAGCTCTAATTTAACACCTAAGTTTAAAATGGTTCAGTGGCCAGATGATTCTTTTCCCAAGCGATTACAAAAAAAACCTTTCGGGCGCCCAAAAAGCGCTCCGCAGGTTATTGTTTGTTTACAAAGCGCGTCAAAAGAATGAAGACTATACTTCCAATCGCCTTTCTCGCTTTGCTCAAGTTCCTACCAACGAACTGAGTGCTTCAGCTTATAACCAGTAACAGGACTGTCTTTCACTACTAACAATGGCTAAGGTCTTTTCAGTTTAGGCCATCGCCATAAAATGATTCGTTTTGTAAAAACAAAATCAAGAGATTTTGAGTCTCTTTTGCTTAATTGTCAGTTCACATGTATTCCTTTTCAAGCATTTAGCATTCAACTTGTTACAGTTTAGTGGGTGTCAGAACTCTAAAATGCTTCAAATGGCTGATCAAAGGGCTTCATTCTTCATTGTGCTGTTTCTGCTGTTGCAAGTGTTGCATAACATTACCAGTCAACAGTGTGGAGCCGGCAGCAACCTTTACTCCATTTACCAAATGATGCTCAAGGGCCACACGTTTAAAACCTTCAATTGAAGTTTCAACCCAGTACGCTGAAATTCCGGGAGGCTTGCCTCGCTGATGTCAGATGTCAAAGCTGTAATATCTGTGGACTTTCTCAAAGACAAAGACACATAATACATGGCGAAGGGATCAAGGCGAGGTAACGTAACTAGCAGAGATCATCGAAGCTATTTTTTCCCATCTAATTGCGAATGACTGCATCATAGACCAATGTCAAAACAATACAAACTGCATAAAGGGTCACGTGAGCTACAGTTGTGTATGTAGCTCATCCGGGTGGCTTAGGTACTAGTGAATAGGAGATACAATCCCTTTATAATTTCTGTCTTTGAAGTTTGCTCAAATCTAATCGCAGATATAAGTTCCAACTACCGCTGAGTCTATTTTCCTAATGTTTCTTTCTTTTTTTTTTTTTTGCTGTACACAGTCAACTTAGCCACACGGCGCCTCACCTCACTCGTCCTTTCCACATTTCGAAAATGCGTCCCACCGGTTAGGAATCGTACATTGTGCGCCTCAGGCGCCTGCAGTTTGGCTTTAATTTAAGAATGAGAGAGATTTTGTTTCCTTATCTAATTCCACTGAGTTTGCATGATTAGTTTTACAAGAATATTAGTTGGCAACAACAGCAATACTGAAGAAAAATCTAACAATGCCTTACCAGTGCCATAAATTCACTTATATTTTTGTGTTTATTACGCAGGATTTACAGCTGTTTTAACAAATGTTACTAAGAGTGAAAGAAATGGTCCCAGATCACTAGAAAATCACTACACAGGTCAGGATCATGACGGACAAGTTGCCACACACTGGTCAATACAGAATAGAAGCAATAGGAGCCTCGGGGGGGAAGGGGGGGTACGACAAGAACGGTGTTATTATGAACGGAGGAGGAAGGGAAAAAGTGATTGGAAACTTTATTTTGACCAAAGACGAGATCATTCGTGTACTTGTTGGTCAAGAAGAGAAAAGAGGGCCTTTCAACCAAGATACTTCTTCAGGTGGTGGAGGTACATTTGTGGTGAAAGGAGGCCACAACACGCCTTTGATAATAGCTGGAGGTGGAGGGGGGATTAGAAAGATGTCAGAACAACATCCAAGATGTGATACGTCCCTACACAACACAGGAAATGCAGGATACAACTCGCCATTGGAGTCAGGAGGAAGAGACCGAAATGAAGGAAATACCAATGGTCAATATTCAGGTAAGCGGATAAAGAATAAAGCCATTGATATTTTCAATTCATTAAGACAGTAATACGACAGTAAGATTAATCAAAACCTTCATTGTTGAAATTATCAATTCTAACTTTGAAGTTTTTCTTTTCTTATTAGCAACAACTCTGGAGGCGCCTCTAAGAAAGTCTTAAGTTGAAATGCATTTCGCCGGTTATGTTTTTAAATCTACTGCGCATTATTTACTGCTGATTTTCGAACCATGATTTCCCACAGGTGTAACCACACTTCAGTTCCTATCGCAGGGGATGACATCACAACAGTTGTCATAGCTTCTTATTCGCTTATTGTGGATTTTGAGTCGAATGCAAAATTGTGACCCTTACGTTACCTCTAAAGCTTTTTTTATTACTCGCAATGACTAATAAGTTTTTTGAATAGACTTTCAAAACTTAAGGAGTAGAGTTAACGGAAGAGTACTGCCAATCGTTGGTTAATAAGTTCAAAAGGTTCTTTTTTCTAAGCGACCGCTGACCATATTCTGATTATGGCAGGTAACGGTGGCGGCGGTTTCTTCAGTAATGGACAAAATGTACCGAATCATGAAGGAGGAGGACTCAAGAAGCTAGAGTCGCTCTCGGCTGTCGCCTCGAGCGACTCTTACGCTTCTTTCGTGCTTAGCAACCTCCCGCGTGCATCCATAACTCAATAGTGTACGCTGTGGTGTTTACCATTTGTTAAATAGAAATCAAATATCTTAGAAACGTTCTGTGCTTCTTAATGTACGAAAGTAAGAAAGTAAGCTTTGTGGGAGGTACAAAAGGAACTCTCAGTTTTGGTGTTGACGAACAAGCACTCGCTCATAAACTTTACTAGTATATACCACAGAAGCGCGCTGATTGTCTAATTCTGGGGGGGATTAGCACGTACTATTCTCCTCCACTTTAGTGACTGGTTGTTAATTATAGCGACATGTTGCAAGCTACAGTCGATTTAAATCAATAAATTCTTTCTTAGCCGTTGAGAGTTGTATGTTGCAGAGCACAGCAGCTTGCAGGAAGGAAAAAAATGACGAAGAGCTGCGTCGAGTCAATACAAGAAACGCTTTATTCACACCAGGCCCCGTTTGTTCAAAGTTTGGACAACGCCTAGTCCATTGGTCAAATTGCTATCCCGTGGATGGTGCAGTAAGTTTTGCTATCACTTATCCGCTGGATGGTGATTTAACCATTGGATAGTGTTATCTGCCCATTATACGACTGGACCCAGGTATGTACGTGTTGTTTAGATTCTGCTTATTTAATAAGTTTATTTTTTTTCCGCTTAATCGTTGCCAACATCACGTAAAGGACAAAATCTTGACTGAAAAAAAAAACTGAACAGGTCTATTGTACTCATGTGATGCCAATAAAACCTTCTAAGGGGGTTTCAATTTAAATATGATACAGTTTCTAAGTGTTCATGTATAGCTGTCTAAAAGCTAGTGAATACCTGACATACCACTGACATAACGATGATGTTAGAATTATGTTGTCATAAACGTATCTTTGAGACAATTTCGGAACAATGCAAATACAATATGGCTCAGTTCACCTAGGATATAAGAACATTTATCGTCTGGCGAGGAAATTACAAGAAAATTTTTAAAGTTTTCCCTCTCAGCTAATAAGGTTTAATAAGTTTTTTTTCAAATGTTATCAGTTAAAAAGCCTTGCTTCCTGCGACCGCAAAATTTAACCAAAGGCCTGTGTCCATTGTCTTCCACCTGTATTAAACAGACCACTCAAATAAAACTGAGAATAATCTTTCAAGTAGTTCTTAATCCATGTTTTACTACCAAAATCAATGTAAGAAGTGTTTTTTTTTTTTGCGAGATTCTGTTCATCAAGTTGTCAATTATGGCGCAAAGCGGCGTTGTGTATCGTTTTATATAATCCACCTAATTTGCGGAGCCTGTATTTAGCGGTCAAACTGTTTTAAGCTAGCAGTCACCCGTTAGACCGCTTGATAGAGGGTCGACTGTATAACACTGTGAAATGATTAGAAAGTGAGAAAAATCATCAGAGTTGACTCGCGCCAAACCCTGGAGATCTTTCAGAATTAAAAAAACTTCAAACTCTTAATAAGCCGGTATCCACTATCCTCGCGATGTTAGCAAAGCTGGCAAAGAACGAAAGATTCAGAGCAACTTTTAGTACAAACACCAATTTACCAAATTTCCGAGTACCATGTGTGTCGAAACAGGAATATGTAATGATGACAGCTGCAAACAGATTATAATTACAATTTTAAACTTAGCGGCAAATTTCCACAAACATTGATTGAGAATACAAATAACTTTTACCAATAATGCTAAGAACAACTGTATCGGGTTCTCAACATATCCGAAATAATTATTTTCAAAAAAGCTAAGGAAGCTCCAAGTCACATAAAAACAAAGCTTTCGATCGCCACCTTTCAAAAAAATAACAAAACAAAACAAAACAAAAAACTTACAAAAGTTTTATTTATAGCCTTAACAATATTTTTTCTCTATATTGTCACACAATTAGCTCCTTTTCCAAAATTCATACTCCCTGAAGAGAACCTCTTAACCTAAGGTTTTTCGTTGTTAAGTGCTTCAAGGAAAACATTTATTCATGATTCTTCGTGTTTAGAGCAACGCAAAAGTTTAGACTTTTAACTCGACTTCTTGGAAGTTATTCCTCAAGTTTCTTAACAAGAGAATAACTGTCTGCGAGAAACTACTCTGGTTATTATCTGCGTGGCGAGATTATTTTATTTTTGATTCCTCTTTTCTTCAGAAATATTACGAAATCGAACGGCGTGGGTGGATATTTTCCAAATTATCATTCCCGAATTATTTTCACAGGGCGATGATTAAAATATAAGTTAGAATACCCATTCCAAAAGATTGGCATGATATGAATAAATACATTTAATTAATTAGGGTCTTCTGTACCATATTACTCCTTTGACAAAAATTGACCTCGTAAAATAGCTAATAGCGTGCCCGGGGCTTCTCCTGATCATACATGAAACTTGTGGCCGCAATTATTGTGCCATTTTGCAGTTAATGGTTAGCAAAGTGCACCAAACAAAGAGCTAGTAACACTTTCACAGAACTGTGCTGGGAATCAGTTAAAGGTAAAAACAACTGTTATTCTGGACCTGAAATTTAGATACTTTTTCGAAAGAAAAGAGTTTTGAACCAGTCATAACATCTTCTCAAAATTGCTTACACGCTGAGCACTTTTGTATTCTTTTTTGCTCGTTAATTGAAAACCTTTTCAGTTCACATCTGCTCTTTAATAGGACAATGTTCAGGGCCGGATTCTCAAGCTCCTAAATATCTTACTAACCTCCGGTTTTCTCGGTCTGTACTTTAAGCAACGGAACGTTGTTTCTCAGCTTGGATTAATTGGCAACGCGCTTCGCGCCATAAATCCGAACAGAAATAACTGAACTCGGTCCGTAATTTACGGTACCGATCTCGAACTCGGTAAGTTTTAAAGATTAAACGAGGATTGGAAGACTCGCTGCTATAAGTTTTCTGGGTTTCTAGATGTGCTTGAAAATTTTTTCGCCCAACATTTTCTCCTGCTTGATAGACTTCATCAGGCTTCGCCGTTATTAACCATGTAAGTGAAAAACTCCAACTAACTTCTACTTTCAACACACTGCTGCGAAAACTTCAGAACTAGTTTCGTCTACGACCTCGGCTTCGCCCTTCTTTTCATAAATATACTTATGGTTTAACCCACATCTTTATTACTTGTCATTGAAGCTGTTGATCTTGTTTATTCAGATTTCACAAAAGTGAAATAACGAAAATGGCTGGTAAACAGACCTCATTCTTCATTGTCGAGTGTGTGTAAATCTTACCAATTCCGATAAAAACCGATTGAGTAGCGTTTTGATCACGTGACCCGGCACATGACCGTCGTCGTCGGCATTGTTACCATAAGGTAAAAGTTCGTATTGAAATGTATCGTCCCTGAAAGTTTCAGCGAAATCGGCTGTATATTTATGGAGATATGGCTGTTTATTTTATTAAGGCAACTTAATCTCCTGACCCAGGCCTTAAACTACTTGAGAGCGACCTTTACTCCATTTACCAAATGATGCTCAAGGGCTACACGTTTAAAACCATCAAGTTTCAACCAGGTACGCTGAAATGCCGACGAGCTTGCCTCGCTGATATTAGATGCCAAAGCTACAACGTCGTCATGTTTGTTGGAACATGCGAGTTGAATAACAAGACCAAGGAGGCCAGACCTGAGGACTTTGTCTGAAACAAAGACAGATATTACATGGCAAAAGGATCAAGACGAGGTAACTAAACTTGTACAGATTATTGCAGCTAATAAAAACTGGTTCCTCATTGAAACTTCCTCTCCAGAACGAGAACAAGGCTTTTATTTTGTTCGTTATAACCAAGTATATGTAATGCTTTTCATGGTAAAAGGTGTTTCTTCAATTATAGTCCCTCTCGGTTCCATTCCTGAGCTGCCTGCTGATTCGTGTAAAGAGATTAAGGCGAGTGAAAGAGGGCAAGCGGTCAGCGGTAATTACTGGTTGGATTCCACGGGATCTGGGAACTCTATTCCAGCTCACTGTGACATGAAAACAGAAGGTGAGGAAGATAAATATTTATGAAGGCTACGCGGTTGCGCACTGATAGAAGAGCATTTGACACAAAATTGGTAGTTTTATGATTTATCTTTCTTTGTATTTTAGTTGCAGACTTCTGCATCAAACACCAGTGTAAAAACAATGCAAAGTGTGTGAATCGTCACGTTAACTACACTTGTGCGTGCAACTCATCCTCGTGGACTGGAAACTATTGCGAAAAAGGTAACATTATCTAAAGCGTCTGCCGCATTTTTATCTGTAAAGTAGTGTCTAATAGGATAGTCAGACCGAGAGTTTACCGTTAGATTTTAACGAAAGAACGAAAGACATTTAGTTTACATAGTTGTACGGAGGAAACAGAACAAACAGCTCCAAGTCCATTGGATATGACACCAACAATAGTGGCCAGTTACCTGAGACACGGCTATATACAGTTTCTAATTGCTGCATCTGCATTGTCCAATATTCCGAACACACTAAGCTCTTCGTTTAACTCAAATTACCTCTACATTAGGTCAAAAAGTAACATTTCCTGAAATAACCTGCACGGTTCTGTATTCGTTTTCCTTTTTTGAAATCTAGCGTACTCGATCAAGCATGGGTTTCTCGACAGTGGCGCAAGTTAGTGACTGCTTAATTCATTCCTGAGAAAACCTGGACCAGCCACCCAAATACTACTGCTCTAGCTATTGCCTTTCCAAAGACCCTAACTTCTTCGCATTAACTTTCCTGCTTTTTTTTAGGAATTGCTTGTAACAAGGTTTCTCATACTAAATCAATACTAATACAGACAAGCTTAGCTTCTTAGCACCAACGCCAAATTACAGAAGAGCTTTGTAATGATCATTTAGGGTTTGAAGCTGTCTTTACAAATCTTGGCGCCAGGGGAAAAAACGGTCCAGTGTCAATTGGTAGTCACTACAAAGGTCAGTACCATGACGGACAAGTTACCGTTTCCAGCGGTATTCAAATATGGACTGTGCCACACACTGGTCAATACAGAATAGAGGCAATAGGAGCTGCAGGGGGGTACGGTAAAGACAGCGATAAGCGGTTTCGAGGCAGAGGGACTAGAATTATTGGAACTTTTGACTTGTCAAAAGGAGAAGTTGTCAAGATACTTGTGGGTCAAGAGGGATGGATTGACTTGAGATATTCAAGTTCTGGAGGAGGAGGGGGCTCATTTGTGCTGGCTAAAAACAACACACCTTTGGTAATAGCTGGAGGTGGAGGCGGACTAAAAAGGGTCAAATCAAGGCATGAAGGATGTGATGCCAGTGCTATAACAACGGGAAATCCCGGACACAGGTCGTGGTCAGGGGGGAGCAATGGACACGGCGCGCAGATTGCTTATGGTACTGCAGGTGAGTAGCCGTCAATCATAAAAACGTTTTGAGTTAATTACCGAGAAACGCACGCTCTGAAGAATAGATGGATTTAGCAAGAACACAGGAACGTCCGTTGACAACGGCGCGCACAGCAAAAATACTGGTAAGAAACTGGGTCGAGAAGGTTGCTCCGTTGTGCTTCAGAAGAGACTTAGCAGTCGTTGCAATGAGACGTAAACGAAACATTTCTTCTTTATTGGCCTAAACTCGGCTTTTTATTTAATTAAAGATCGCCGACACAAATTTTCGGTTTCATAAAGAACAGTAAGGACAACGAAACTATCCTTTTTGAGAGTTATGCAACAAGCTCAAACAGAGGATAAATTATAGTTACGGCAAGCTAGATGTTAATATATGAATCCACATGAGCACCTACTAATTTTGAGATTTCTTTTTCTGTTTGTTTTGGTTTATATGGTTTATGGGTCCAGCCATTTGCTTTAATCTTTCTCCTTTTTAATTTGTTATTTTGTGTTTTGTTTTAGGTGGTGGTGGTGGTGGATTTTTCTCCAAAGGAAGGAGTTCTATTGATTTTGGTGGAACCACTGGAGGGGGAGGAGAAGGGGGTGAAAGCTTTCTCAATGGGGGAACAGGTGGGCGAGATATTCTCGTCGGAGGGTTTGGGGGAGGGGGTGGTGGTCTGGCATTGAGTTATCGTTATACGGGTGGTGGTGGAGGGGGAGGCGGTGGTTACTCAGGGGGGAGTAGTGGAAGTGATATGGCTGACTCCTGTGGGGGAGGGGGAGGATCGTACAATGCTGGTAAAGATCAACAAAACGAATGTTGTTACAGAAAAGATGGCCATGGTGTGGTACTTATTACCTTCCTGGGGTAAAATGTCATCAGGAGTTTCACATTTTGTGCGTGACTGCAATTACAACTAGGGAACTGAACTGTAAAATTATATTCTGTTGACTTTTACGCTGTGCGTAAAGCTTTGTAAGTTGCCACCTTATTCATTGCACTTTTGTCACCCTCTTGGTGAAACTTCTCAATCGCATGAGTGAAATAGTCGCACTTTCTGAGCAAGTTTGTATCATTGCAATTAGACTGTAGGCTGAGATTAGTACGACAGTATATCTAAGCATTTAGAATTCGCGCTCTGAGTCAAATTACAGCGGGTGGGAGTGTTCGCTCCTCGTAACCAGCATAGGGGGGGAGGGAAGTATTTTCTGGCAATGTGAACGCTGAACACTTCGGTTTAGAACTGAAGCTCCCATAATGGATGTGTGAGATCGCGGTACTTCTGCGGGGAACAAACAATGAGACGGGAGGAAGAACCAAAGAAAAATATAAAAGAAGCAATTCTCAATGTCAGAGCCCTTCCTCTTCATTAGTTAGTTAGTTTCATTGCCACCTTCTTGGTACAATGTTTTACTCGCTCTAAGCTTTCAACGATCTACCGATCGATCCAATATGGCCGCTCAGTTGTACATTCGGTCTAAGCTCACCGTCCTTGGTCCTTAGCTTCAAACTTCAGTCAAATAAACAGACTTTGGAATCTTCAAACTAGGCCGTAGAAACAAGAAGACTCGATGAAAGAAGCCAAGGTTTACTGAAGGAACAAGATTCTCAGCTTTTGAAAGTGGTTATCTCACGCGTGAAAATAGTCGTAAATATAACTGCTTATAACACGAATGTATCCTGTTTTTTTGCTGATACACTCTTTTTATAGATGATCGTTATCGTAACCTTCAGCAAGAGAACACCAGTGCATGGGATCTTAGCAATCGTGTTGGTAGCTGTATATATACGTGTACTCTCGTGCATCCAAGTCAGCCTCAAGTCTCCTTCGCAGACGTATTTTGGATGTCTATCTCTGGGTTAAGCGTTGCATGACATCCTCAGGCTAAAGAACGGCTACGAAGCAGAGTTTACACACGTCTTTAGATAAAAGACTGAACCTATTTATTTCCTTTTTATAGCTCAATTATTGACAGTTAAAGAAACCTTTGAGTAACTCAGCCAATGTTTACTGTAAACTTTAACTTAATCGACTCTCTTTCATATTCATCACAAGTAGTTCTGTAAACGTTAGCCTACTTCAGCTATCAACTTGTCGAGTCCAATAAACTCACCTATCATATCAACTGACTGTGATTTGTCAACCTGACTGTGATTCGTGGAAGTTTTCATATATAATTCTTTCTTCCCACTTAGTCTCAAAAGTATTGTTAGCACCAAAGAAAGTAAATGAAACAATCCGCAGCATACGAGAACTGCATGCATCTCATCCCCATTAATTGACCAGATTTTTCCCGATTTAATTTCGCCACAGGTAAACCCTTGACAGTGAGAATGTGAGAAACTACACGAGAGCCGATAAATAAAACGAGTGAGGGAGGGAGAAAGATTGGAGGATGTGGGGGTGGGGAAGGGGTTACGTGAACAGATTTCCCTTTAACAGTTATATAGCTGCTTTTGTGGTCACTCACATGTCACAAACGGACTGAGGGAGAAGAAATTATAATTAGCTTTAAAGGTTCAGTCCAAGGAAGAGAACAACTACAACAACTATATAAACGAAAAACACATCTTGCTAACGAGAAACACAGTTTACTTATCAAATAAATTGGTAAATTAAATAGTTCTAGAATCAATTATACCCCAAATGTTCATTTATTTTTCTAATGCCAGTTCCCGAAATCTCGTTCCCAGACCCTTTCCTCTTGCATGACGTCAGTAGGTGTCGTCATCTTTCCTTTGGATTTTTCGAAGGGCTTCTTTCAAGTCTTCCCCGAGACATGTCTCGCTTGGTTCTCCTGTGCACCATTAGATCTTCCACTCTCCTTTGTTTTCTGGGCAGTTCACGAACGAGAGACTTTAGCCTTTTTCCGACGGTATGCGTCCCAGTTTACTTTGTCTGCAAGCTCTTTTGCAGTGATTCATCATTAGGGTAAGGTGTGTCCTACAAACAGGGAGGAGTCGTTATTCTGGTCGGCCTCTGCTAACACGTGTAGAATTCATTTAAAAGCCAACGTGCTACAATGAGCTTGGAAAAAAAAGGGGAGGGATGGGTTTCCTGAAGCAATAGAACGCTCATTCTCATTTATTCGGTGCGCTACTTTGATAACCCTGTTAAAATTTTGAGGAACACTCGAAGAGCTGGGAAATCATCGGCCGACAGAAAAATTTTCATCAAGAGGAGGGCATTATTTCCATAGAATGTTAACGGTTTACCAGTGCGATAAACGACACATTTTTACCAATCAGAGTGCCCAAGGCATTTCAGTTATCTGATGTGTAAAGTTATTCATGGCTAGAATTTTCCTCACCAACCTGAACCCACTGAACAGCTTTGTCAGTAGATTTTTCATTTAATGGAAAAATCGAGGATGCCCAGTAACATCTTTTCCCGTAACAAGAAGTCTTCTTTTGATGTCGTCGGTACAATGAGCAAAGTAAAATTTCTTTGAGATCATGATGCATTCTGCCCCATTGCTGACCTGCGAAAGAAATGAACAGGAATCAGATATCATAGAAAAACTTCTTTCACGAACCGGCAAAAATCTCTTGGACCTCTTATGTGAGGCTTGACTCCAGTGACTCGATTAGAATATCAAAAATCCACTAAGCAAGATTTGCCGTTCTTTTGTCCCCAGTCTCTTTTTGTTCCCTACAGAAGAAGTTGTTCATATTCGTATAATGAAAACACCCATTGTTTGAGGTATCCTTACTGTGCATGCTCTGTAATTAGCACGCATAAGTCGTGTGTTGTATCAATCTCTTGACATTTCTAAAATATAGCTTTCTTTACTTCATAATTGAGCTTAAATGAACCATCTCTTTTATCTTATTTACTCAAACGAGGTTTTATACATTGTCAAGTGAGTGGCAAAATCTCGGCACTCCCTAATACTTTTTTGAATTTTTTCCAACTCTTATTTATCTCCCAACCAGCTACTAGAGGGAGGCGTGCCAACTCCTCATTGTAGTTCAAGAACTATACAAAACGAGTGTCATAATTAAACCTAATATTGGCCTATGAGTTGTTCACCGAAAAGTCTCGTTGGTTGTATGGTAGAGTATCGAGGCGTGGACTCCGACGAGTCAGAGATTCAATATTTCACGGGGACTTTGACCATGACAAGATAGTAAAATATCCTTCTGTTTGCATTGTATATAGATTGACAATCACTATTAACGAAGTATATAGAAATATATAAACCAACTGACCAAACTGAGACTAAGCTGCTCGTAAAACACCATTGAAGACACACCCTGAATAGCAAAAAAGAAGCTCCAACGAAGGGCTAACGATCGAAACGTCAGCTTTTATAATCGTAACGGTGGCCAATTTACCATTTCAACTTTGTTGATATATTCAAATTATATAATGAGATAGCTCGTTTGATATAGCAGGTTTCGCTTGATATTTCTCGATAGAAGGTTCTATCTATCTATGTTTTAACCTGCAAAGGGCAATATAGCCCATCCTATCCCAGGGGAGGACATCCACCACACAGTAATCTCGTTCGTGGGAAATTAACGTCGCCTACCTAACCCTGCAGGAGATGGGACCTACGGTTTATTCGTTCTTATCCGAGAAGACTAGAATATCTATGCATTTCTTGATATCATAGAAAGGTAGCACA